ACTGCCTCTCTGGGTAGGATTCTGCTCTTCGCTCTTCTCCATTGATGGTCCCAGGGTCCTCCGCTCCTAGACTGATAAATTAATCACTCCCCTCTTTGTTACAAAATGTCCATCTTTAGATTTCCAACCCTCTCAATCAGTCCTGATAACAATTATTCACCATTGCATCACAAGAGACCCATCTATACTTCCTTTCATCAGCCCTTCCTGGACAGGCTGGACACCACTTACTGGAGTTGTTCAGCCCTTTTACTTCATCATTTCTTCCATTCATTTCAGCTACTCTACACTCAAAAGCAAGTTTCAGTGTCTCTTTTGACATACACGTTGGACTTTTCTTTCTTTCCTGTACCAGAGCTCCTTGTTGCTCTTAAGTGATGTCAAGTTGGTTCTGACTCATAGAAAACCTTTATAGGGTTTCCAAGGAGCATCTGGTGGGTTTGAACTGCTGACCTTGAAGTTAGCAGTCCAGTGCTCATCCTACAGTGCTACACCAGTGCTCCTTAGTACTGATTAATTTTTGCATGTCAGATCACAGAACCATAACATTAGTTTGTTGCTGTCATGTGATTCAAGTTGATTCCAAGAGTGACTGATAGACTTGAACTGCTGACCTTGTGGTTTGCAGTCCAATGCTTATCCTGTAGTGCCATACCAAGACTCTTATAGCTTTGTTGTTGTTATAAGTACCGTCAAGTCAGTTCTGACTCACAGAGACCCTGCATAGGGTTTCCAAGGAGCGGCTAGTGAGTTTGAACCATTGACCTTGTGGTTCAAACTGACCTTGCGGCCCAGTGCTTATCCTATAGCACCACATAGGGCTTTATATTATAAACCATTCATTTGTTAAAAAGTTAATGAGCTTCTGTGTACCAGAGGGTGGAGACGAATGTGACTTCCTAGCTTCAAGGAGTTCATCATGTGCTGAGGGACTAATTCCTTCTCTAGAATCCCTGTGCAGGTTCAGTTTAGAGACTGTTCTATTTATTAAACAGCTTTTGTTTTCCTAGTGATGAGCTGAAACTTTCCTCTTTGTCACTTGTATCTCATCTAGTTTAGAATTTTGTCATAATGAATTGTTGAAAGATCTGTCTTCTGTGAATCTTAATAATTTACAAGGCAAACACAAATTACCAATATAATTTTTTTTCATCCTCAAAGTTTCTCTTATCTCTCCTCCCCTTTTGACTGATGTCTTTCAGGGCTTGAGTGATGAACTTGCACTTGTAGATGCCAATGAAGGCAAGCTGAAGGGTGAGACAATGGATCTTCAACATGGCAGCCCTTTTGTGAAAATGCCAAATATTGTTTCCAGTACAGGTTAGTATCATTGTTAAATACTATAACTATTCTAATAAAAGTTGAAAAGAAAAGATCTAAGATAATCACAGCTTTGTTTCCTTTTATGAAGACTTCCCCAGTTCTTAAAGCTAGAGTTGGTTGTGCCCTACTTTATACTCTCATTATTAATCTTTTAATTTCTCTTGAAAGCATTTCACAGTGGATTGTATTTTGTTTACAAGGCTTCCTATAGCACCAGACTCAGCTCCTTGTGAACAGCAGTGATAGTAGTTATCACAGTGTTGTTGTTAGGTGCCATAGAGTCAGTTTTGATTTATAGTGAGCCTATATACAACAGAATGAAACATTGGCTGGTGCTACACCTCCTATTTGTTGCTATATTTGAGTTCATTGTTGCAGCCAGTGTCATTCTGTCGTGTTGAAGGGCTTCTCTTTGAAGCTGACCCCTACTTTACCAAAAATGATGTCCCTCTCCAGGGACTGGTTCCTCCTGATACCATGTCAGAAGTATGAGAGACAAAGTCTCACCGCCCTTATTTCTAAGGAACATTCTGACGATACTTCTTCTAAGACACGTTGGTTCTTCTGGCAGTCCATGGTATATGTGTCATTCTTCCTCCACACCATAATTCAAAGATGTCTTCTTTAGCAGATTTGCCCAATGCAATATGCTGTTTGATTTCTTAACTGCTTATTTGGGTGTTGATTATGGATCCAAGTAAAATGAAATCTTAGTTGTCAACAATTGATTGTCCATTGTGTGCCAGACACTGAGCTAAGCACTTTGTTGTTGTTGTTAAAAGTGCCAGGGAATTGGTTTCAACTCATAGGGACCCTCTTTGGTGTTTCTGAGGCTGTAAATCTTTATGGGAGTAGAAAGCCTCATCTTTACCCCACAGAGAAGCTGGTGGGCTTGAACCACTGACCTTGTGGTTAGCCATCCAGGGTTTATCCGACAGCAACACTGCACTCTCTCCCAAGCATACTTTACATGTATTATTTAATTCTCACCAAATCTATGATGTTTCCAGATGATGAAGCTGTGAATAAAAATGGAGTGGGGATTTGAATCCAGTTCAACTTTACTCCCAAACCTAAGCTCTTAACTACTGTAGTTTGTTCCTTGGCACTCAGGAGATTTGAACAAATGAGTGAATAAAGATTTTCTTGGACAACCTGTTCAAGGTTCCTTCCTCACATCATCTAAGTAGGAGTCCTTGTACTAGGGTAAGCACTGATCTGCTAACTGCAAGGTTCAGACTCATTAGCCAGTCCTTGGAAACTGTACAGTGTTGCTATGAGTTGGAACCAACTTCCTGGTACTTAACATCTCTAAATAAATATTCCCATTTATATTCAACTTCTTACTCTAAAAAGTACAAAAGTTATTAGGATTTCCTAAGTATACAAGGAAAAACAGTCATTTTCTCAAGTTAAGGGTATTATGGGCACAGTAAATCTGGAGACACATTTTGGTAAACAGCTTGGTGAAAGGATTGGGTGAATAGGAAATGTGTTGTATTTGATATCTTAATATACTTTCAAATCAAATCTTTCTCCAGATTACCATGTCACTGCAAATTCCAACCTAGTGATTATCACAGCAGGTGCCCGCCAGGAAAAGGGAGAAACACGCCTTAATTTGGTCCAGCGAAATGTATCCATCTTTAAATTAATCATTTCTAATATTATCCAACATAGTCCCCGCTGCAAACTGATTGTTGTTTCCAATCCAGGTCAGCTTTATTTTGAATGTTCAATGAAGAAATTTTTTTGGGTGGTGGGTGGGTAAGTTTAGTAACATCAAACCAAAAAGAATTTAATGATTATTAAATTCTGAAATACAAATAATACTTCATATTCACTTCCTGTTTTATTAATGTAAGATTTTTTTTTTACACAGTTGTAATCCATAAGTATTTACTGTAAGAGTTCTCTAAACACTAGTCTGTATGGGAGAGTAATCTGATTAATCATATGCCTTTAAAAGTTTACATTCTAAAGGCTGTTCTATGGGAAATATTTGCCTCTACATTATTACTGTGTTAGCAGAAGTCAAAATATCACTACAGTTTACCAATTCCTTAATGTTATACTAGGTTTTTCAGTGGTCCACAAGGTTAACAAATTCGATACACTTTGTAGTTAAAATGTATTAAGATTGCTGATAGATTATATGTAGTGAGTGGGAGGAAGGAATTAAAAATGACTTCTAGATTTTTCTCTTGGGCTACCAGTTGGATCACCATCCAAACAATTCCACTTACCTTGTTTTAAAAATGTTTTAATTGTTGTGAAATACATGTAACACAATATAACATTTCAACCATTTTATGTGTATAATGTAGTGGTATTAATTATGTTCTCCATACTATCAACACTACTGATTTCCATTTTTTTCATCACTGCTAACAGTTTTGATTTTCCATAATGACTAGTAAAGTTGAGCATCTTTTCATGTGCTTAGTGGCCACATATGCAAATTATCTTCTTCGGTAAAATGTCAAAGAAAATGGTGAAAATCTTCAAGTCCCTTATCCACTTTTTAAGTAAGGTTGTCCTTTTGTTGCTGAGTTACGTTGTTTTTATTGTTAAGTGCTGTCAAGTTGGTTCTGACCTGTAACGACTCTGTATAGGGTATCCAAGGAGCAGCTGGTGGTGAGCTTGAACTGACGACCTTGCATAGGAATCCTTTATTGAAGATTAAACCCTTACTAGATATATGACTCCCAAATATTTTGTTCCATTTTGTATAGATTGTTTCTCGTCTGCATGTGGAGATCCGTTGTCTCAGTACCACTTCTTTTTAGATTAGTCTTTCCCCATTGGGTGAACCTAGCACCCTTGTCAACAATCAGTGGTCAGAGATGTACGGTTTTATTTCTGAATTCTTAATTCTATTTCATTGATTTATCATTACACTAGTTGCGGACTGTTTTGATTAGGTTTATGTTTTGTTATTGGTTAAGTATTAGTTCTCCTACTTTGTTTTTTCCAAGATCACTTTGGCTATTCTAAGACCGTTGCAATTCCATGTAAATTTGAGGATTGACTTTCCCATTTATGCAAAGGTGTTGACATTTTCATAGCAGTTGCATTGAATCTAAAGATCATTACATAGCAGGGTATCTTTAATGATATTCTTCTAATCCATGAACAAAGAATGGCTTTCCATTAATTAATTTCTTTCAGAAACGTTTTATAGTTTTTAGTGTCTCACCTCCCTGATTAAATTTATTCCTAGTTATTCTTTCAGAAGCTATTGTAAATAGTTTTAATTTCCTTTTCAGATTGCTCACTGCTAATACATAGAAACCCAGTGATTTGTTACCTTTACTCTGCAGCTTTGCTGAATTCATTAGTGCTTATACATTTTGTCTTCTGTGACTAGGTGTCATTTTATTTATTTGGACACCTTTAATATCTTTTTCATAGAGTCCTCAGAGAGTCCTGGTGTGGTGCTGCGGGTTAATGCGCTGAACTGTAAGGTCGGTTTGACTGCAAGGTCGGCGGTTCAGGTTCACTATACAGGGGCAACATTATATTAAAAGGGAGCACTGGTCGCTCCATACAATAAGCACTGGATGGCAAACCAAAAGGTCTGCAGTCCAAGCCCACCAGTTGCTGAAAGGGAGAAAGATGAAACTTTCTGCTTCCATGATTTAAATCCTTGGAAACCCTATACAGGGTCATTATAAATTGGAACCACCACCACCAGTTACATTAATATATTTTCTAATGTTGAACCTGGAATAAATCCTATTTGGTCATGTTGTTTTATCCTTTTAGTAAATAGTATTGGATTCACTTTGCTATTATTTTGTTGAGGAATTTACCATGTGTATTCGTAAGCGATATTGGTCTACAGTTTTCTAGTGGTGTCTTTGATTTTAATAATTAATTTTCTTTAAATGTTTGGTAAAATTCCCTAGTGAAGCCATCTGCAACAGCATTTTTTAAATTATTGATTCCGTCTCCTTAGTTGTTATGGGTCAGTTGAGAGTTCCTGTTTCCTCTTGGGTCAATTTAGGAAGATTGTTTTTCTCAGAATTTCTCCATTTCATTTCAATGATCTAATTTGTTAGGGTACAACTGTTCATAGTATTTCTATGATCTTTTTATTTCTGAAGGGTTAGTTATAATGTCCCCATTTTCATTTCTGATTTCAGTTATTTGCATACTTTTTTGATTTGTTAAAATTTTGTCAATTCTACTCATCTTTTCAAGAACCAACTTCTGCTTTTGTTGACTCTTTACTTTCTCTTTCTCCATTTATTTCTGCTCTGATCTTTGTTTACTTCCTTGCTTCTTCTTCTAGTTCCTTAAGTTGTAGTGTTAGGTATTGATTTATTTTCAACTGACTTCCATAGGGATGATTTCTATTTTGGTATTGTTCTTTCAAGTGGGCTGTTCATTCCTGTTTCTTTGTATGCTTTAATTTTCTGGAAATGAGACATTAGAATATTATACTGTGGTAACCCTGGAACTCAGATTTTTCCTCTTCCTTAGTCTGCAATTTTAAAAAACAAAACAAAACAAAAAATGTAATTTATAGCTGGAATCATTTAAGGCTGAAGAAAAATTGAAGCCTTTGAATTGGTGTTGGCAATGAATATTAAATATACCATAGACTGCCAGAAGAAATGAACAAATCTATCTTGGAAGTACATCCAGGATAATCCTTAAATGTGGGGATGGTTAAGACTTCATTTCATGAACTCTGGGCATGTCATCAGGAGGGACCAGTCCCTTGAGAAGGATATCCCACTTGGTGGAGAGTCAGCTAAAAAGAGGAAGCACCTCAGTGAGACGACTGATACAATGGGCTCAAAAATAGTCCCATTTGTGAAGGTTCATTCTGTTGTACACAGGATAGTCCCGAGTCAATACAAGGTTATAATCCTCACTCTGCTCAGCAAATTTTGCAAGGACTTCCTTTCACAATGTGTGTGGACTATGTTCTGGAGGCTGTCCAAGTGGTGTTTTGACAGTAATTACCTTTTACTTCAGGGAAAAAAAGAAACATCAGAAAATAGGAAGTATATCATTCTCTCACTCCTCTGCAATTGCTGTTCTTTATGAAGCCTTTAGTTGTGTTTAGTGAGTTTTACAAAGTAAATTTTGCAGTGCTATGTTCCTGCCAGTGGCTTGACAGATTTCACCAAAGGGGATGCTCACTCTTGGCAGGGAAAAACTGCTGGGCCAAGAGGGCTGAAACCACTGCAGTAGTTTTCACCCAACTGTGCAAATGCAAATCCTTTGAGGGCAAGGCCCCAACTGCCCACTCCAGTACCAGCCAGCTCCTCTAGAAATGGGTTGCTGCTCCCACCATGTAACAGTGCTGAAGATTGGTTATTAGTGGCTGATTTGTGCATGTGACTCACTTCGGAAAGATTAGCATCTTGTCTCTTCATCAAGCACTTCCTGGTTAATTTAGGTGATGTGTTGCGGATTTCCAAACAGTTGGTTCCAACTGCTCTTTCCAGTGCAACTGTTGTGTGTTGTGACTTCTAGAACTTCTTATCTGCCATTGTGGGCTAGCCTTTATCCCTTAGAAGTCTATAGTATGCTTCAATCAGTGAATTAATCCCAGGTGATTCGGGAAGGCCTTCAGCCTACGGGCACTGCTCATTGCTTCCTCACCCTCCCCAGCCCTACAGGAGCACGTCTGGTTAAACTGGAAGGATTATACCTCTTCAGCGCTTCAGGCTGACCTCAGATAAAAATGAAGTCAGATACGACAGTTCACTAGCAAATACAGCAAATACGTAGGACGTTCTGCACACTCCTGAGCCAAAGAGCAGGCTCCTCTCTGGGAGTGTGGTTCACAGTTTGACTTGACACCAGTACTGCCATAGCCCCTGCTATGGTCAGAAAGAAGACTTCAGTGATAGAAAAGAAAAAAATTTCTACTGTTTGAAAGTTAGCTTTTCCTTGATTCTGTGGTTGCTTAGATGTTGTAACGTAGATTGGTTTTGAGTTTTGAGATTTGTTTGCAGCAATTTCTGCTTATTTTTTCCTGATTTGTTATTGATGGGGATGGTGCCATTTTGTCTCCATGGAGCTCAGGGAAAGAAATTGGAGGGGTGTTGGGTTAAGAGGGAAAAAATGAAGACTGTCGAATTGTTCATGTTCTGAAAAGACACTTGAGAGGAAATAGTAAGCCAGGTAGCTGCTTATGAGTCTGGTGCCTAGATGAGATTAGGTTGGGATAACCAATCAAATTATTTTAATGTCATTTGGAATAGGTTTTCTGTTTGAATAGGCAAATTGTGTCTGTTGTTGTTAAGTGCCGTTGAGTCGGTTCCGACCCATAGCGACCCTGAACAGGGTTTCGGAGGCTGTAAATCTTTACGGGAGCAGAAAGCCTCCTCTTTCTCCCGCGGAGCAGCTGGTGGTTTCAAACTGCTGAACTTGTGGTTCGCAGCCTGATTCGTAACCACTACGCTAAATTGTGTCTAGGAGTACATAAATTAATTTGTTCATTTTAATTTTGATTTTTAGTAACTAATTTTATCTCATAATTTTATAAAATATTTACATGGCTCCACTATCAAATCTAGAAAACAAGAATTATTCAAAGACACTTAGAAGCTAACTATTTCTAACTACTTTAAAAAAGGTTGGAGGTTTGAGTTCTCTCAGAGGTACGTCGGAAGAAAAGCTTGGCGGGCGGTCTACTCTGGAAAACACCAGTCATTGGGAAACGCTATTTTGATAGTTTCACTCCAACACACATGCGGTTGCTGAGTTAGAGTGGACTTAACAGTAATTGGTAATGTGTGTGTATCTCTATGAAATTTCATCACGTTTGTATACATTTACGTAACCATTACCAAATCAAGATATAGAACAAAGAACCATGTTGTACCATCACAAAGAAAATTTCTTGTGATACACCTTTATAGTTACAACTTTTCCCCCAAACGTAACCATTGGCAGCTATGGGTATATTCTTTATCATGTTAAATTGTCACTTGAAGTTGTAGTTTTTGAGTTGGCTTTTTAAACTTAGTATAATGCCCTTGAGATTTGTCCAAGTTTGGCATGAATCAATAGGTTTTACAATTTTTGTCAGTTTCCATTAAAAAAAAAAAATCCTTCTAGGAATTTGGATTAGGAATTGTTACCTTTACAATGTTGAGTGCTTTAATTGGAACACTAACCCAAACCAAACCCACTGTAACTGTCAATTCCAACTCACAGCAACCCTCAAAGGCAGAGGAGAACAGTTCCTTTGGGTTTCCAAGACTGTCAGTTTTTATGGGACAAAACAGCCACATCTCTATATTTTATTAAGCCTTTATTAGTTCTCATTAAACATTTTATAATGTTCTATACTTAGATATAACATTTTATATAATTTATCCCAACCACACAGTAGTCACTTCAAACCCACCAGCTGCTCCTCAGAAACCCTATACAGGGTTACTATGAGTCAAAACCTACTCAATGGCATGTAACAAGGTGGTACAGCTTGAATTGAATATAGAAAGTTCCCCCCCACAAAACATCAGATTTACAAGTTTTAATTTGGTTATTTTTTAAATGTCTTACTTTGATGAGAACTTTATCTGACTTGAATGTTTTCTTCTCAGTGGATATATTAACTTATGTGGCCTGGAAATTGAGTGACTTTCCCAAAAACCGTGTTATTGGAAGTGGTTGTAATCTGGACACTGCCCGTTTTCGTTTCTTCATTGGGCAAAGACTTGGCATCCACCCTGAGAGCTGTCATGGGTGGATTCTTGGAGAGCATGGTGACTCAAGCGGTAAGCCCCCTCAGTCTCTGAAATGTATTTTCACTATATTAGTAATATTTAATCGTAAAGAAAAATAGCCCAGGTGGGCAGAAAAGACTTCTTATTAACTATGAATACATAATGGAGTCCTGGTGTGGCGCTGTGGGTTAATGCGCAAAGTCAGTTTGAACTGCAAGGTTGACAGTTCAAGCTCACCACCTGCTCCTCGGAAACCCTATACAGGGTTGCTATGGGTTGGAACCAACTCCAAGGCACTTAACAACAACATAATAATAAAATAGGAGTCCTGGTGAGGCCCTCCAGGATAAGCACTGCACTGCTAACCATAAGGTCAGTGGCTCAAATCCACCAGTCACTCCTTGGAAACCTTAAACAGGGTCTCTATGAGTCAGAACCGAACCTACTTGATAGATAGCACTCAACAATAACATCATAATAACTCACCCCCCAAAAAAATTCAAATTAGAAAAGAGTGGGAATGTGAGCAAAATCCTACCTATAGATGGTAAGATTTAAGGTTTTCTTCTCAAAATCAAGTAACAATGTGGTTTATATTTAACTTGGGTCTCTAGTTTAGAAAGGTCAGGATTTCAGCTCAAGTAATACGGATTCTTCAGATTAAGGGCCAGGCCTAACTGGAGGAAATTAAAGGGAAGAGAGGGTGTTCTGGTGACAGCCATCCTTTTTTTTTTTTTTAGTTATTTCTGGTTAAGTAACTTTGAAAATCTTGTAATACAATCCCTGACTATAGAAAAGGACATGGAAATGAAAAGTATAACTTATCTATAGCAGCAAGAAGTTTAAAACTGCCACTTTCTTGGCTGGAACATCTCTGTAAAGATGAGAGACTTCTGTGCCACTGTCTTGAAGATTTTGATTTAGCAGATTTGGGTTGGGACTTAGACATCTGAATTTGATGGTTCTGTTGAATACTCAGGAGCCCTGATGGTGCAGTGGTTAAGCACTCAATTGAAAGGTGTGCCATCCAAGTCTACCAGTTGCTTTGCAGGAGAAAGAAGTGATAGTCTGTGTCCATAAAGATGATAGTCTCAGAAACCTTAGGGGTCATTCTCCTCGGTCCTATGGTCATGATGAGTCAGAATTTACTCAATGGCATACAACAATAACACTGAATATTCCTAGGTGAAAATCACTCAGGTTTTGCTAAAACAAAAATAACCCAAAACTCTTCTTATATAATACCATGTAATGTCTGTATTATTCTTATTTTTTCACAGTTCCTGTGTGGAGTGGAGTGAACATTGCTGGTGTCTCTCTGAAGAATCTGCACTCAGATCTAGGAACTGATAAAGATTGTGAGCAATGGAGAAATGTCCACAAAGAAGTGATTGCTAGGTAATGTTAGTTTTACACTTTCAGGACCTTGGAAGTTAGCTGTGAGCCTGAATTCTGCCAAATGGATAAAGTTCTCTTATTTTTCTTAAATTAGCATTTCAACTTTTTTTGGTTTTTTTGGGAGGGGGTTTACAATGATGTGATTAATCATTTTCCAGAGTGTAAACTACTAAACAATCAGGGACAATGTCTGTTTTGATCACTGCTGAGCCTAACTCATGGTCTAGTATATAACAAACAACTGTTGACTGAGAGAATATGTGTTTACTTACTGTGGTAGGACTGATTTCATATTAATATCTGGATCTCTCATAACCTCTTAATTCTAATGTTTGTCGGAAATAACCAATTTCTGTAAGACGTTTCAAGGAAAATTTGATAGGAACATTGTAGTTTTGTGACATTATTAGATAAAGTTGCCACAAAATGGATGTTCAATGATAAATATTTCTTCCAAACTAACTTCCTACCTATGTTCATAATTTATAACTCCACAGTGCCTATGAGATTATTAAAAGGAAAGGTTATACATCTTGGGCCATTGGCCTATCTGTAGCCGATTTAGCAGAAACCATTTTGAAGAATCTTAGGAGAGTGCATCCAGTTTCCACCATAATTAAGGTAGATGCTCATGTTTGAAAAGTCATTCTTTTACTTTAATATAGTCTGTTAATTTTTGAAATTGATCTTTCATAAGCACTTCTCTTCCTAAAGACTAGCTTTTATTGTTGTTGAGAGTCATCTTTGTAGGTCTTTGTCGTGTCCTAGAAAACATTTTTTATTACATCCAATTAACTAAAAGTGAGTTTTTGTGCACCTCTATGAGTTAACTGAGTGAACTAGTTCTACAAACATTTAGTGACATTGGGAACGCTTGTGAGCAGTAACTTCATTACCTACATTTTGAGTTCTCTAAAATAGTTATGTCCCATGAAGAGATCTAGGGACGAAGCATTCATCATTGAAAGTGTAGTTAGTCTTGGGTGACAATGGATGTACGTAGTAAGATCTCTCTGCTAGTCTGAATGTTGTTGTGGGTAAGCACTGGCTAGTTGATTCCAACTTATAACAATTCTGTATAGGGTTTCAAAGGAGTGGCTGATGAGTTTGAACCACTGACCTTGCAGAGGTTATAACAAAATAGAATTAAACCATTGGAAATAAATAATCTAAATTATGGAGTGGTTCTGACAGAAAGTGATTTGGGGGCAAAAGATAAAACGATGGTGGGGCCCAGCAAACATGACAAGAGACTGGGGTCCATGTGGAGAGGTGGCTGGTGAACATGAACAATAAACATGTCTAATAACCTATTTTAAATTATTCTCTACTGGGGTGCCTACTTTCCTGCCATAATCCATACATACAAATCTGTTCAACACTCCTTCACCAAGCAACTTCTGTGTCTCATATTGCAGACTTGTTACAAAAAAGAAAAAAATGTATTTTAAGTCTTTACTTTCAGGACCTCTATGGAATAAAGGAAGAAGTATTTCTCAGTGTTCCTTGTATCCTGGGAGAGAATGGCATTACAGACATTATAAATGTCGATCTGAACCCTGCAGAGGAGGTCTGTTTAAAGAAGAGTGCAGAAACACTATGGGAAATTCAGAAGAACCTCAAGCTTTAAGGTTGATTAATGCTACCGTTCTGACGTTTTTAAAGAAATAGTTATGTATAGTATCTGTCAAACTTCTGAATAAATCTGAACTCCTAAAGTTGGAAAAGAGAGAGTGAAGTACCCTGTTTGTTTAACCTTGCAGCTCCCTCAGATGGTAGATAATACTAAAAAAAAAAAAAAATTAAAATTCTTAAGTAATTGCATTAAAGGTATTCATGCACCTCTGATGTACCACCAGTACTTCCCTTGAATATAAGTAGCTTCTAGTTGGTACAAAAGAATATTTAATGTATATGTTTACTGTGTGATAGAAATTCTGATTTTTAAAATTATCAAAATCCTTATAATTTTACCATCCAGTCTGGCTTATATCTATGCTCATTTATATATACTATTGTGACTTCCTCTACAATGTAAAAATTAAAATTACATAAATTCTAAATGTTCATTTATCTTAATACTAAATAAACCTTGATTTGACCTTGCTACTTTTTATAACGATAATTGTTGTGAATAGAATTTACTTTTTTTAAAAAAAAGTTTTTATTGTAAATTGAGTGATAGTTTACATGAGAAAACATCGGTGTGTTACACTCATCATTTCATTGCAATGATTACAGTCTCCGTGCCATCATCATTCAACAGTATTTGCTTCTATTCCCTCTAGAATTTACTTTTAAGGAAAGGAGCTATAGTGTATAAATCCCCATCCATGATGATTTAGGACTAAGTTGGTGGTTCTCTTCTTGGGAGAAGTATGGAGTGAGCTATCTGGATCCTTAATATCTTAAAACATCCTCTCAAATCAGAATTTCTTTGTAGCCTTCTCATGAACCTTCTAGTCTTGCATTTCTGCTGAGAACATTCTATTACACAAACTATGCAGGACAGATACAAGGCAGGCTTCAAAAACTTTGTGAGGAAATGGAATCGGAAGATAATGAAAATTTCCCACAAACTTTCTGAAGCCTCCTCAGAGCAGTTCTGTAGCTCATTGGGTGGTCACAGCCTTGGCTTCAAAATTACTCCCATAAAGAGTAATTTTAAATAACAATAAAAGCAGGGAGACAATGTACATGACCCCTTCTCACAACTACCCTTTTAACTGTAGACAGACCATCTTGCCTGGTTAACATTAACCTCCCAGCTTGTACAGCTCTGCTTCTAGTATTTTTTCCTTACTAGTTGATGAAAACATAATGGCTTAAATTAAACCTGAAAAGCAAACAAATCTAGGCAGGGACCGGTAGGAGGGTAAACACCCAGGACCATTCACAGAAGTCACTGAAATTCTTCTATTCCAAACATTTCAAATTTTTGATTCTATAGGATATCCAAAACAAAACAACCAAATCCACTGTCTCTAATCGATTTTGACTCAGAAAGAACCTGTAGGACAGAGTAGAACTGCCCCACAGGATTTCCAAGATTATAAATCTTTACCGAAGCAGACAGCTCAATCTTTCTACCACAGAGCGGCTGGCGAGTTTGAACTGTCAACCTTTCAGTTAGCAGCCAAGCTCTTTAACCATTACACCACCAGGGCTACTCATCAATGTGGTCTAAAAAACCCCCAAAGCTGCCAGATAGTTAATTCTGACTCATAGTGATCCTATATTAAAATAGCATTTACTTGATATACTATAGAATAGATAATACTAAACTTATGAATACCGTGCTTTTGTTTGCAAAATAGAAAACTGTAGTTCTTAGTAAAAGTTTCATGAATCTTTCCTAAAGGAATCCAATAAAGAAGAGAAAAAATATGCAACAAATTTTATTTAGCTTAGTCAGTCCCAACATTCAGCACAAAAAGAGTACAGAGAATAGAAAGTGCATTAATAAAAGCCGGTCTTTACCAAAAGAAAACAGAAAATATATTATTGATTCAAAATATTTTACACTTGAATGATATACTGCAATAACTTATTCTGGGTACCTACTGATAAGAGAAAAGAAAAGAAAAGAATACTTTAAGAAGAGCTCAATCTCCAACGGATATCAGAGTTGTCAGTAGAGGTCACTGAGACCGGCAGTCTTTCTTGCTTTTTGCATTAGTGCTCTCAGCTGGAACTGTTTACGGGACAGAAGACGCACATGCTAGGAGGGGGGAAAATTTCAACAGTTTAGAAAGGCTTTGATCCAGGTCCAGGCATTCAATATCAGACAAGTTTAACCTAGATGGCTGAAGATACCTAAGCTAACTAGTTATATCAATCTTCCTTTGGAATCAACACCATATTAAATGTAGCTTCTTTAGTTTTACCAGACTGATGCTGGCAGACTGGGTTAAGACAAGTAGCTCTTTGGATCTGATAAAAGCTTACTTGCAAGGAAAGTACCATCTCATCAGATCTGGCTCAGGAGTTTTACTACTTCTTAAGACAATCAAGATGCAAAGAAACTTATACTGTGATTGTCACAAAAGTTCCAAAAATAACCTCTGATAACCATGACTGTTTTACTCACTTGGTTAAAAGAAGAGGAAGGGTACTGATGAGCAGCAAACAGGCAACTTTTATCCCTAGTCTGGTGCCCTGTAAATGGTACAGGCTTCATTCTTTCCCTCTCTTGCATCACTATGCGTTGTTCCCCAGGCTGTGCACCCAAACAAGGGGCAATGTATTGAAAGGGAGATTTCCCTGTGAGTACACCCAGTCATCCATGTGCTTGTACCAGGCCCAAGGTATGTGGTTTGGCTTCTCACCCAAAATGAGACAGATGAGCAAGCAACAGGACCAGATCATCATGTACAATGAGGCATCAGCAGAAGCTGGGTCAGATCCAAAAGCTACTATTCTTAAAACCAGGTACTTCATGACCAACCATACATGGCTTATTAGATTTTCATGTCTCTACATAATAGTATTAAGCCTCAGCCAAGCTTCACTCAAAAGGGCATTAGTACCCACAAGGCTGGCTGTTCTGTGAAAACTAGTCTAAATGATGAAAGTCTTAAGAAAATACAAAAACAGTGGAGGTAGGCTAGTTGGTGAACTCAAGCTAAGCTAAGTGGTATGACCTAAAAGAACCAGTGGAAATGTGGCTTTTCCTCCTGACCTGCCCAGGCACAATAGTAAGAATTAAATTCATCTTGATGCTGCCTGTGGGGTGGGGGACAGCAGCCACTAAACCACTTTCCTTTCCCTACTCAGACCAAATCTAAGAACTCTGTAGATGGGAAGACTCTGCTCACAACCATTCGTTTTATTAAGTTTCTTTTGGGAAGATAAGGAATCTCAACCCACCCTAGAGAGAAACCCTCCTGGCCTGTGGATGTCAAGGTCAGTGCTTCTTACAGCACAAGTTCCAAAATCCTGGAAAGCAGAGTGAGGAAGACATACCTTCAGGAAGACATCCAGATCTATGACTCCCCGCCTCAAGGCTTCTCCCAGGTAAAAGATAGTGTCTTCAATAGCATTTTCCTCTGCATACAAGTTAAGGATCTGTTTGTACAGTGGGGCTGTGGGAATGATAACTTCATCAATATCATTGTTTTCAGACTGGTTTTCCATCTTCTCCAGAGCAGAACTGAGTTCTTCGTCCTTCTTTTTCAAAAGTTCAATGTTTTTATCAACTTCAGCCTGAAAACAGAATAGTCCAAATGTGACTAATTTTATACTAACTCTACTTAATTAAGAAGCTCTGGTAGCGTAGTGGTTACAAATCGGGGTGCGAACCGCAAGGTCAGCTATTGGAAACTACCAGCTGTTCCACGGGAGAAAGATGAGGCTTTCTGCTCCCGTAAAGATTTACAGCCTTGGAAACCCTGTACAGTCACTATGAGTCGGAACCAACTCCACGGCACATAACAACAACTACTTAATTACCCACGTCAGTCATTTACAACTCAATTTTACAGAAACAGACTTGCTAATAAAGCTATGTTTACACAACTTATGGATGAGATTAATGTTTCCAATAACACACTGATCAAAGAGGAAAAGGTATGCTCTAATATACTGAGTGAAATGAGGATAACGTTCAAATACCCTGAGCTAAGCAGTGACAAATGTGCTTGCAAACTTGGCCAGCACACAGGATACTTTCCAGGAAGAGGCTCCCTACATATAAACTGGTAAAAGAGGTCTTTCTTCCAAGCAAGTGTGGGCATCTGCCACCAAAGAAGTCCATTCCTTGGTCTAGAAAGAAGATTCAACACACTTGCCCTCTAGCCATAAGACAGAGCCAGCGGCTATGGTGTAAAGTGGAGAGAAGGTGGCCCTTGAATCTGCTATTGTTGGTTGTTAAGTGCTTTAGAGTTGGTTCCGACTCATAGGGACACTGTATAGTTTACAAGGAGCAGCTAGTGGGCTTGAACCGCTGACCAGGGCTCAACTGAATTATGCTCGCGGTTTCTTTATTTAGTAAATTAGACATAAAACATTTGCCATTTCAGTTTTTTTTACATGTACAAGTCAGTGACATTCAGGATGCCCATCATGTTGCACAGCCATCAGTTCTAGTGTCTCTTAATCATCATTAAACAATCAAATCACAGAGCTAGCTTCTACACTGACTCTCCCAGGCCCAGAAGAAGCTTGTGATAACAAATATGTAAAGGTGTACAGAGCTAAAGTTTGCATAGACTGCGTACGTATATAGCTCTTAAGTCACCCAAAACTTCTAGATTATTAAGTTAGAAGGTTCAATAAAGACGCTTTTTAATATAGCTCAAACACATTTGCTAAGTCAGCAAAAAAGTATTCAGGTCTTTATCAAAGTTCATACTGTCTCAACTTCTATTTTCTGATAATTGTCTTGCAATATAAGCAATCAAAAGGTCCTCCTTTGGGCTAAAACATCAGCCTTTAGGGTGGAGGTGCAATAAAAGATGTTCGAAGTATCATCTGTCTCCCTGTCAAAGACTAGATTTCAAGCATAAGCTCCCTTTTTAACAAAGTGATAAGAAAGCTATAATTTTGAAATCTTATACTTACAACATCCACTGTAACTGAAGTACATACAGAAACACTGTGTCGTGGCTACAATTCAACCTGAAAATTCAACTCTTCCAAAACAAACTACTTACTACTTCTTGATCTAAACGAGTAACCATCTCTTCCAGTTTCTGGTGACCTTTCTTCAGGTCTTCTTCTGTTCGCTTCAAGGCATTGAGCTCTGCCTGGGCACGGTCCATTTCCTCCTTCATCCGCCATCTCAGTTTGTCACTGACTGCAGAGATGAGGGAGGCTCGGATGGTGTCCTCACTGATTGTTCCATCCCTACTGGGACCTGAAAGGGACAAGATGACAACCATTTGCTTCTTGCCCCAACTTGTTCTACTCTTCTCACAGGAACCTTCAGAAAGCAGGACAAAATGAGCTGACACTTTTCAAATGGGAGGAAAGAAGAAAATGTATATGTTAAAATTTTATCAGAAACTTGAAAATCTGAGTTGATTCAGAAATACTTGCCCTGAAGGTGATTCTGTCCCTACTATGAATCCACTTTTCCTACTTCTAGGCCAGTGCAGTACTGGGCTCTTTTTTCAATGAAGTAGAAGAAGGCTCTGTCAATGTTACTACAATTACAGTTGTTTCTAAGTTTCCGGCAAGTGGGAGAATACATTTACGCAAAGGAAAAACATTTAGCTCAGGCCAATCTGACCTTCAGCAGTGTCACTGCTCATTGCAGAGGTCAGTGAGAGGACTAAAGCACCGGCAGTTTCCCTAAACAAATGCACATGTTCGTCTTCAGCAAGATGTTCATTCCCTAACAAAGACTCAGGAAAAGAAAAAGAACAAAAAAGAATGACATCCAAAAAATTTAACAGCTAATAAAACTGTTCACTCCTAAATGCTTTATGACTTTCTTCCAAAAGCCCCTTCCTAAACAGTATCTTAATATCTTCTTTGCACATTTCAGATCAAACAAACTTATTTACTTCAAAAAGGCCCTCCCTTTAACATCGGATATTTTTTTGTGACAGCCTTAGCCATTCTTCCACTGAGGGGCACTTAGGCTGTCTGAATCTTTTTGTGATGGTCTTAAACCTGCAAATCTATAAATGGTGTTTTGAGTTTCAATTATGTTAGAAAGAATACCATGTGGGAAATACATATATTTAATCTTAATTAAATTCAACAAGAAATTACAGACCAACACTTTAAGATGACAATTTTTATCACCTTAACATGGAGTTCCACTTAACATAAGGAAAAACTCCTATTTGCAAAAATGTACCTAAACTCTCGTCACTCATGTTACCATCTAGCTTTTCTCCCTTGTAACAAGTTACACAATTCATCAAAAGCAAACAGTTGTTCAAACCACAAGGCCACATGCTCCTCAGTGTCTGTTTGTGCACAACTCTTGCCACTCCATAACCTGGTCTGGTCACTGCACTTTGTGGTTTATGGTTGTAAAGCTGTCTTCTTACAGAAACTGCTCCCTACCCTAAGGGCTTTTCAGGGTCTTTGTAAATGACATTAGGAGACTGCAGTTTTCAGGTTCCATTTGTTTCAACAATCTATAGAGTTCTGCTTCTTTTAGCTCATTATTTCTACCACATAAAAACATTTTCTCTAACCTGGATATTCTTTCGGGAAAAAATTAGTGCATAGATAGTGTCTCTGGCCAGGTTTTCCTGAGCATTGCCCTTTGGTCTAGTTGTCTTAGGAAACTTGCACAGTGATGAAAGTATCAAGCATCCTAACATCAGACTCCTAACGTTGACTATTTCTCCCTATAAAAGCCTTCCTCTTTCCTGTTAGAAACCTCTTGCTGAGAACTCACACATTGGCCATTAATATTTTTGGTTGATTATTAACATGTAAATTGATGTATATAATTCCCAAAATTAGTTTCTGATTTTACAAAAGTATTTCAACTTTTTATTTAATATTATAGTATTTACTCTTTCAGACCTGTGTTTTGAAATTTAGAGTTGTAAAGCTACAGGGAAACTACATTTCTTCTACGAAAATTGAGGTCTAGGTTTCAAACCCCTGGTATCTTGCTGTTGCTGCTAAGTGGTACCGAGAAGGTTCCAATTCAGTGACCTTGAATTGTGTGGGGTTTCTGAGGAGCAGCTGGTGGGTTTGAACCACTCACCTTGCGGTGCTTATCCTACAGTTGTTACACTAGGACTTTTAGTAGCTAGATTTTCCAAAGTGTGCTCATCAATTTGCCAGTCATTGAATTACCTCTGAGCTCATTTCCCCAAGTCCTTCCTATCACTTTCATCTCTGGTACTACAGTCTCCTCAACTACCTCTTGACTCACTTCCATCCTGCCCCCATCAGCACCTCACCACAAGGAAAACACCAGTAACTTTACTGAATTCACCATTTTATAGCTGTACTCAGTCCTTGACACCTCTGACCTCTCTTTCTGCCTGTTCTGCCTTCAATAGCATCTCCCTCAGCCCTGATTCTTTGTTCATTTCTTATATCCCTGTATTTAGGCTGCCCATGAATACATGCTTCACACATTCTTCACATCACTAGGGCTTCTAATTCTAAAAGCTTTGCTTGTCCACAACCCAACCAAATCCCTCAATCCTTCTGATTCCTTCTTATGGCCCTAAACCTTCTTTTACCATACCATTACAAAAGCAAACACCTTCAGAACATCTTCAAAAAAGATTGTGGAACAAGATCCCCAAACCCTCACTCTTCAAAAGTACTACCCTGTCTCACATGTAAGACAAAGTGAAGTGGAAAGATGGAGCAGCTAGGGACTCTGGACTCAGAGAGGGGAGAGGGTCTGTGTGCTGACGGCTGGGCGAGGGGGAGGAGGGGGAAGGTAGGCTTGCAGTGTGTACCCTTTGGTTGTTTGATGATGCATGCTGCATGCAGAGGATTGTAATCATTGCAATGAAATGAAATAAGATAGGATGAATGTAAAGCTAATGTTCTCCCATATAAACTATCACATAATTCCCAATAAAAACTTAAGAAAAAAAAAAGTACTAGCCTGCTTTTCTTAGCAAGACAACTGGATTTCCTCTAGATGCCTTAGCAGGATCGGATGCTTGCCAGACTTTCATCTACTATTATTCCTAATTCAAATTAGTCTAAGTGCAGCAACTGCTTTCTCAGTTCCCTGTCTTTCTCTGGTTAAGCTCCCCTCTTGCCAGAGAAAAGACTCATTTATATGCCTCTCTCAGTAGCTCAAAATCTTAAGTGATTTTGTTTATCCTATTCTCTGTAGCTCTCCTTTCCTCCGGGTTCAAGTCCAGTGTTATCCAGAATCATGATTCTCAATAGGGATAATATCACCCCTCAAGGGACCAAAATGGTTTCTTGGGAGATTAAAATAAATCAAAGCTCTTTTTATGAAAAAAAAAAAAAGCAGCTGTGGGCGAATGTGTCAGACTGTAAAGTGTTTCAAGCTCACCAGCTGCTCCTTGGAAACCCTATACAGGGTTGCTATGGGTCGGAATTGACTCAACGGCACTTAACAACAACAACATAAAGAAAAAATGGTTAAGAAACCTTGCTGTAATTCATCTGTGATTCCTGCTTTTCCACCTGATGTTTTTGGTTACCACTATAAACTTCTAGTTGCTGGCCTTGTCACCACATCCCAATCTCATTTCTAAAATTATGGTCTATACATTTGTTACAATGCTTAGATTATGCTACTCACAACCTATGAAAAAGAAAAGGACATTTGACATGCTAGATGACACTGAGGAGCTCTGGTTGCGTAGTGATTACGATCGGGCTGCGAACCTTAAGGTCAGCAGTTCGAAACTACCAGCTGTTCTGCAGAAGAAAGATGAGGCTTTCTGCTCCCGTAAAGATTTACAGTCTCAGAAGCCCTGTAAAGGGTCGCTATGAGTCGGAACCAACTCCCTGGCACATCACCACCATCACCAGGCTCCCAAGACCACAGTTGCTTCCATTTAAAGGAGCTCTGGTAGCGTAGTTGTTACGAATCGGGCTGCAAACCACAGGGTCAGCAGTTAGAAACTACCAGCTGTCCCGTGGAAGAAACATGAGGCTTTCTGCTCCATAAAGATTTACATACAGCCTCAGAAACCCTGTACAGGGTCGCTCTAAGTCAGAATCAACTCCACGGCACATAACCATCACCACTACCACCAGATGACCATGAATTATCTGAAATCACTTCTACCACTCCAATCAATAAATATCTAAGCCATTCCAAGCTAATAAAAAAAAAAGATTTTTATGTTCTTGAATATCAGATTCCATCTTCTCTCTCTGCCTTTTGAAACATTCCTTTTTCCTGTATTCTGTTAGAATGTAGGAAAATTACTGAAGCTGCAAGATAAATGGTGGTGGTGGTGTGCCGTGGAGTCGATTCCAACTCATAGCTATCCTGCATAAGGTTTCCAAGGCTGTCAATCTTTACAGGAGCAGAAAGCCTCATCTTTCTCTCATGGAACCACTGGTAGTTTCGAACTGCTGACCTTGAGGCTATCAATCTGACTCGTAACCACTATGCAACCAGAGCTCCTTGCAAGATAAATGGTATAAGATGGTATTAAACCAAATGAAAGCTCTAATCAATATCACTACAGTCCGAAAATAAACTGAACTTCTGAAGCTTTTATAGTAAACCTACTTGAGGTCACAGATTTCAACACTTAGAACTGCTTTTGTTTAATCAAACAACTCTAAGCAGCTACTACAATTCAGTGCTAGTCAGAATGCTTTAAAGATACTGTTCCTAACCCCAAGGAGACAATCAAGTTGTTTACCAGGACATGTCTAACTAATAATCATCATTCAATCTCTGAATTGCTTTGGTTTGCCACTGACAAGGTAAAAACTAATTTATTATTTTAGTTTCTCATTTTAGAACTCACTCATCTCTGCCAAGAAATTTGGAAGACAACTATCTGGCCGACTGATTGGAAGAGATCCATATTTGTGCCCATTCCAAAGAAAGGTGACCCAACGGAATGCGGAAATCATCGGACAATCTCTTTGATATCTCAAGCGAGTAAAGTTTTGCTAAAGGTAATACAGAAACGGCTAGTATTAAAAAGATCAGAAAAATGTAAAATGTGATAAAACTTGAGCATCTTATTAAAACAATACGAGATAAATATATCAAATTTTTGCTGTTAACAACCCATCTTTAATACACAATCCAAAGTTAACGTTTCCAGCCTATTCCCTATTTACAAGAAAATCTCAGCGTATAGGAACTCCTCACAATTCCTAGCTTGTAGATAAGCACATATTCATTCTCCTTCTTCAGTGTTCCATGTTGCTTTTCTCATCTTCAATTTACATTAACAGGTAAGCAGTCTG